CGGGGTTTCACCATGTTGGTCAGGCTGGTCTTGAACTCCTGACCTCGTGATCTGCCCGCCTCAGCCTCCCAAAGTGCTGGGATTACAGGCATGAACCACTGTGCCCGGCCCATATTGCAATTCTCATAATGCCTCTCAATAAACAATAACAGCTACCATTTGTCAAGTATCTACTATGTGCCAGGTACTTTTCATCTCCCCTTTTAAAAATCTTTATAAATGACTCTGCAAGGGAGATGCCATTATCTTTTTTTTTAATCTAAGATTCAGAGGGTTAAGTCAATTGTCTGAGGTCACACAGCTGGTAAGTGGCAGAGCCGAGACCCATGCAGGCCTTATGTGCTAGAGCTGCCCAGTGAGCCCAGGCTGCGGTCCTTACTGAGCCCGCCCCTTGGGGCTCCGGGTCTCTGCTTCGTCCACGCAGGCCTGATGGAGCTACGTTTCCTGTGCGTGGACTCTGCCCTCAGGGTGCCTGTCCAGGAGGAGCTGTGTGGCCTGGCAAGCAAGCCTGGAAGCCGGCGGGAGGTCTGCCAGGCTGTCCCGTGCCCTGCTCGGTGAGTGAGGGGAGCAAGACTGTGCAGGGGAAAGTCTGGCCTTGGGATGTGGCCTCCTACAGAGTGCTGGCCTTCTCCCTGCACGTGGGAGACCCGAGCCTTGGCTCCATGCCCGGTGACCTGCGGAGGGGGGCAGGTGCCACTGGCTGTGCGCTGTGTGAGGCTAGACCATGGCTGCCCCATCCCCCTACCTCATTCCAAGTGCGGGCCAGAGCCCCGGCCCAGCCCCTTTGAACACTGCAGCCCAGAGCCCTGCCCTGCCAGGTGGGCCCCTTCCCAAGGAGACAGGGGGTTCTAGGTCTTCATCCTGGCTCTTCCCTCACCTCCAAGCTGGATCTTTTGTCCTCACCAGTGGGAGCAGGTCATATTGTGCCCCCAGAAGACTGGGGGGGGCGGTTTAATGAAAGGATTAAATGCATGTGAAGTATATGCTAAATGCAACGAGTGTAAAATGCATGCTAGATGCAATGCGTGTAAAGTACATTGCACAGGATCTGGGATGCTGTGGGCACACGTGGTTGCTGGGATGTTTCTTCATAACCTGCTCTTTATGGAGCACCTAGGCCCCGGGGTTGTCCTGGAGCTGGGGGACACAGCAGAGAACAAGGCAGAGAAACGTCCCTGACCTCCTGGAGCAAATGGAGGGGGAAAGAGGACAGATAATAGTAGGACAGAGGGGGAGTGCAGTTTGATGGATGGTGTTCAGTGTGATGCCGCCAAACACAGCAGAAGGGGAGGAGGGGAGAGCTAGCAAGGTGGGCTGCAGGGCAGTGGTGCTGGGATCACTGTTCAAGAAAGACATGCAGGGCCCTTGGGTGCCTGGACCCCTGTCCCCACTGTCTCTGGGATATGACATCTGTCGTTTGCCCTCACCTCTCCCTTCTGTAAAATGGGTTTGTCCAAATGTTCTGTCCACTCTGCCAAGCCTCTTGGTGAGGACACAAGGGGGCCTCCAGAAAGAGAACCTCTCCAGGCCCTTCCCAGCTTCCTGTCTCTTCCTGGTCTGGGGAAAGGAAGGGGGAGACCTGACTCCCCTGGGTTCCCAGGCCCTGGGGCTGTTTGGGGTCCCCGACTTCAGTTTGCTCCAGGTGGCAGTACAAGCTGGCGGCCTGCAGTGTGAGCTGTGGGGGAGGGGTCATGCGGAGGATCCTGTATTGTGCCCGGGCCCATGGGGAGGATGACGAGGAGGAGATCCTGTTGGACACCCAATGCCAGGGGCTGCCTCGCCCAGAACCCCAGGAGGCCTGCAGCCTGGAGCCCTGCCCACCTAGGTGAGTCAGCCGGTGACGGGAGGGGCAGCTCCTGGTGTGTGCAGATGCCAGGCCAGGTGCTGTGGTGTGCGCCTATAATCGCAGCTACTTGGAAAGCTGAATCAGGAGAATCACTTGAGTCCAGAAGCGCAAGTCCAACCTGGGCAACACAGTGAGACCTCATCTCTAAAAAAAAACAAGACAGGGCCAGGTGTGGTGGCTCATGCCGGTAATCCCAGCACTATGGAAGGCCAAAGCGGGTGGATTACCTGAGGTCAGGAGCTTGAGACCAGCTGGGCCAACATGGTGAAACCCTAGCTCTACTAAAAATACAAAAATTAGGCCGGGTGTGGTGGCTCATGCCTGTAATCCCAGCACTTTGCGGGGCTGAGGCAGGCGGACCACCTGAGGTCGGGAGTTGGAGACCAGCCTGACCAACATGGAGAAACCCCACTCTACTAAAAATACAAAATTAGCCAGGCGTGGTGGTGCCTGCCTGTAATCCCAGTTACTCAGGAGGCTGAGGCAGGAAAATCGCTTGAACCTGGGAGGCCAAGGTTGTGGTGAGCCAAGATCACACCACTGGACTCTAGCCTGGTCAACAACAGCGAAACTCCATCTCAAAAAACAAAACAAACAAATAAGAAAACAAAAATTAGCCGGGTGTGGTGGTGTACACCTGTAATCCCAGCTACTTGGGAGGTGGAGGCAGGAGAATCGCTTGAACCTGGGAGGTGGAGGTTGCAGTGAGCTGAGATCGCGCTACTGCACTCCAGCCTGGGCAACACAGCGAGACTCCCTCTCAAAAACAAAACAAAACAAGATGGGGTGGGGGGCTCAGTGGCCCAAGAGCCAGTCTGTAAGGAATAGGGCTACCTGGCAGGCTGTGCTAGGTGTGGGAGGTGAAGTTTAAGCACCGTGCAGGCAGGGTGCAGTGTGGGGAGGCCTGGGGGACAGACGAGGCAGCATTTCAGCAGAACCTGAAGCTGTGGGCACCAGCATTCTGATGTGGACGACGGGAGGGATGGAGGACCCTGCAGGGACACACACAGCCACACTAGGACACGGGACAGAATCATGTTCAAGTCCGTGAGGTCCAGAGCCCAGTGGTAAAGGGTGAACATTTGCCTACCTGATTTACAATTCTTTAATGGTTTCTTTTTGTAGGTTTGCATTTTTAATGAAGTACTTTTCTACATCACATAGAAACGTGCAGAAAAGAATGTAATGGACGTGTGTGTTCCAGCACTCAGGTTTAACAGATAGCACCCTACTGCCATGTTTCCTTCCTGTCCACTTACTTTATTTATTTATTTATTTATTTATTTTGAGATGGAGTCTCGCTTTGTTGCCCAGGCAGTGGTGCAATCTTGCCTCACTGCAACCTCCGTCTCCCAGGTTCAAGCCATTCTCCTGTCTCAGCCTCCTGAGTAGCTGGGAATAAAGGCACCCACCACCACACCCAGCTAATTTTTGTATTTTTAGTAGAGACAGGGTTTACCATATTGGTCAGGCTGATCTTGAACTCCTGACCTCAGGAGATCTGCCTACCTCAGCATTCCAAAGTGCTGGGATTACAGGAATGAGCCATCGAACCCAGCAAGTCTCCTTAGTTTTAAATAAATCCAGTTACAGATAAGATTTCACTTAAATTTAGGCTGGACGTGGTGGCTCATGCCTGTAATCTCAGCACTTTAGGAGGCTGAGGTGGGCGGATCATTTGAGCCCAGGAGTTTGAGACCAGCCTGGGCAACATGCCAAAACCTCTTCTCTACTATAAATACAAAAATTTGGGCATGGTGGTGCATGCCAGTATTCCCAGCTACTCAGGAGGCTGAGGCAGGAGAATCACCGAATCCCCTGAGCCTTGGGAGGTCAAGGCTGCAGTGAGCAGAGATCATACCACCACTGCACTCCAGCCTAGGCAACAGAGTGAGACCCTGTCTCAAAAAAAAAAAAAAAATTTTTTTTTTACTTACATTTAAACCGTGTACTAATGTGTTTGCAAAGTAGGGACCAAGGGATTTTTTTTTTTTTTTTTTTTAAATTGTTAACCAGCATCTGTTGAACAAGCCCTGATGCCCCCAGGTGGCTCCTCGGTGGTATTGGTGTATGTTAGAATCTATGTCTAGGCTTTCTACTAGGTTTTTTTCTTCTCCTTTTTTTTTTTTTTTTTTTTTTGAGACAGAGTTTTTCTCTGTCACCCAGGGTGGGGTGCAGTGGTGTAATCTCAGCTCACTGCAACCTCCGCCTCCTGGGTTCAAGTGATTTACATGCCTCAGCCTCCCAAGCAGCTGGGATTACAGGTGCCCACCACCACACCCAACTGATTTTGTATTTTTAATAGAGACAGGGCTTCACTCTGTTGGCCAGGCTGGTCTTGAACTCCTGACCTCAAGTGATCTGCCAGTTGCTGTTTGTTTTGCCAGTAGCTATTCTCTTGCCCATAAAAAATTGTTTTTTTTTTTTTTTTTTTTTTT